TTAACAAATGACTGAAAATTTAGTCATTTCTTCAGATGTATAGGATAAATCCATATTTTCGCTATATCTAATCTGAAAAGCTGTTGGATTGCAGTAAACAGGAGATTGTAACACTGATTTTGTAAAACTTTTGGAGTGAGATCCTGTCAGTTTTCCATGTCAAAATCGTCTTGCAGTAACATCTCTTATGTGGGCATGTGCTAAACATTTGAGAACTATGTATCCAGTGACCTATTAGTTCTGTTTCATTGAATTAACCCATTTCTTTGGGTTAATGGAATATACATAAAAATAAATTCTTGAATTAAGTGTTTGATTTTTCCCTTGCAATATTTGTAAAGAGAAATTTAGAGCAAATATTTGATTATAAAATTCTTAGTGTTTCTGGTATCCAATAAACTCTGACTTAGTTGAATAGTGATATTTTCCTAATTTTCCATTTTTTCACTGCATATTTTGGAATTGATTTTGCATTGTTCATTGATATTAAAGATTTTTTAATAGTAAAGTTCCTTTTCCTGTATTTTGTTGTTTTAAAATTTATAACAAGTACAAATTTCACAAATTGTTTAAATCCAACCAACATAATTTTGTAAAGTAACTACAAAGATAAGGTCTAAAATGTTTTAATAAAAATTATATTTGATTTTTTCCTAAATACCTGTGACATTTTGGTTACTACAAAATGAATCACTTTGTTCAAACACCTCACTTCCAAAAAATAAAAGTAAATTAATAAAATGAAAATTTCAACTGGTCTATTTTAGTAGTTATTTAATAGATTCTTTTAAGCTAAAAACTGAAGTTCTTTATTGAATATTTCAATATTTATTATATCCTGCTGTTTTCTTAACAAATTTCAAAACTTTGCCTTGAAATATATCAATATCATTTGAGAGAATTTTCATTCAATATCGCTTTCCTCACTACACTCTGTAGACTATGTATTTGCTAGCATTCCTATATATTTTTGTTTCAAGTTGAGAATAATAGTTATTAAGCATCTATAATTTACTGAAATTTTCTTTGAGTTGCCATTCGTAATGAAATGCTTTACTAGGACTAATTTTTTACCAATATTTACAAATTACAAAAAATCATAAAATTGTCTTATTCCTAGCAAGGTTGGATCTCAATTTTGCAATATACTTTAAAAATAAATTTTGAATCCATGTCTAATTTTCCATTTTTGTATTTGTAAATAGAGGTATAAACCAAATATTTGATTAAAAAATTCAGGGTTTATGCCTTCCAATCAACTCCAATTTAGTTGAATATTAAAATTTCCTCTATTTTCATTTTCATCTGTACATTTTTCTACTGCTGTTTTCCCTTTTCTCTGACATTAAAGGTATTTTTAAGGCATATTTCTTTTTTTCCTATTTTTGTAATTTAAAAATTTATAGCAATTACAAATTACACTGATTGTTTAAATCCAACCATTACAATTGTGTAAAGTCACTACAAAACTAAGGCATAAAAATTATATTTCCTTTTTTTCTTAGTGAATTCTGGGTGTTAGTATAATGGTGTATTTACTACAAAAGAACTTGGAAAAAATATATTAAGTGAAGTAAGCCAGGCCCAAAGAAACAGAGGTCCTATGGTTTTCCTTATTTACACTGACTATTATTATTCTAAGACAAGCAGAAAAGGTCAAAAGCTGTGTACATATGACCATATAAGATGATGTTAAGTGAAATGAAAGGACACAACTGTTTTTTTTTCTTTCTTGCTATAGTTTTTAACATACTTAAAATGTACTATTTGAATTTTTTGCTTCTTTTGTATGTGCTTCCACATGGTATAACCCCTGTTTTCACTGTATTTGATGCATCTTCTATATATATTTTTCTAATTTGGGGAAGGGAAGAGAAATAACCAAATGCTGAAATAAGGATACAGGTTGATCTGTTTTAACAATGATATTTACAAGACACTATGTGGAAAACAAATTTTACAACTTTGGCAGTGGGAGGAGATTGGGGGTTATTGTGGAGGTAGGAGGGAAGGGATAGTAGGGGGAAAACAAAGGAGGAGGCAACAATACGCGATAGGAAATGTACACATTACCTTGCTCATGTAACTGTAAACCCTCTGAACAGTATTTTTACAATAAAAACTGTGCAATAAATAAATAAGTAAATAAAAACAAAGGAAGTAAAAATGCTTAATAGGAAATGAGCTCATTACCTTACTTATGTAACTGTAATGCCTCTGTAAATAATTTTTTACAATAAAAAACATAAAGAATTCCTTTCTTCAACTTCCTCATTGCCAATAATAAAATAAACTGATAATGTGAAAAAATTCAATTTGTCTATTTTAGCAGTTAATTATTGCATTTGTATAATTTCAAGTTCTTTATTGAATGTTTCAGTACTTATTATATTCTACTTTCTTAATATATTTCAATTTTACCCCTTATTTTCACTACATATTTCTTTCCCCACAATGCTATACACAATACATGTGTATAGCATTCCTATATATTTTTGTTTGAAGTTGAGAATAACATTGATTAATCATTTACCATTTCTTGAAATTTTATTTGAGTTGTCATTGGTATTGAAATGCTTTACAGATTCATGGAATTAACATATTTCTAGGAGGGTTGGTTGAACATCCATAAATCAACAAATACAGTATACTGTATAAATTGCAACATCCACCCTTATCTCTCAGTCATGAAAATAGTTGTGGAGATTAACAATTGAAAAATTCAAATGTTGTTCATGACTTACACTTGAAAGAGGTATAGAGTCTCTGATCACACTTTGACTTCCTTATGATACAATACACAAAGGAACACTTTGGCCATTATCCACATCTCTAGGGTTGACGAATATTAATTTTTATTGCTGGGAAATCTTCCACAAGAATAATTTTTTACAAGTGATTCAACATTCACCAAGCATATTAAGGTGGCACAGAATATAACCCTGAACTATCCTTTTTCTTCTTTTTTTATTGTGAAAATACCGTACAGAGGAGTTACAATCACATGGGCAAACTAATGAGTACATTTCTTATCAAGCATTGTTGCCTCCTCCTTTGTTTCCCCTTCCTATCCCTTTTCATTCTCTCCCCCAACCTCCATCCCCCCGCAAAGTTGTAAAGTTCGTTTTTCCACATAACGACTTATACATCTCATTTTTGCAATGGATCCACCTGTATCCCTATTTAAACGATTTGTTTTTATATCAACATCAAATACAATGAAAGCAGGGGTCAAGTTCCTTGCTTGACACATACTTCGATGCTGAATTTCTAGTCTCCAAGACTAAAACATTCTGTCTTCTGAAAGAGCACTGCCTTCCAAAAGCTCAGTGGATATCTATGTGATACATGAGGATAACTTCTTTGCTCAAATCTGCAGATCATTTGTCTCTGGAAATTGCAGGGAATGTACCTACTTTGTTAGGAAATATGTTCCATACATATTTGCAGGGAAATTACTTTGATAATCACTCAATGCAAGATTCACAAGAAACTTTTCCTGATTTTTACTATGTACATTCTATGGCTCCCCCATTTACCTACTCATTTTGGGGAACAATCCTCAATGAAATATTTCACATAGCATCAAATGTGATCAGGTGGTCTTCCTCCTAATTGTGGATCTCTAAAGTGAAAATCTCATGCAGATTGAGCACTTGAAAATTTGTCCATGGAAATGTGCCAGGTAACTTTCCTTAGAAATTGGGTGCAGAGGATGACAAAGTATTGCATAATATCCTATTCCATTAAATAAAGCCTCCTGGACATATTAGACAGAGACAAAAAGGACACATTGCTCTTAGAGTATCTCCATGGGATTCTTTAGAGATAGACCTTTCTGGGAAACTTTTTTGAGCAACTTGACAAAAATTCTTTGAGTTTGAATTTACCTCACACAAAATGAATTCCACAAAAGTTTAATAATAACTACAGAAAGGAAAACAAATGTTATATTACAGAAATGTTTAGTACCTTATAGGAATAGGATGTTTTAAAATGAGATTTGGCTGACAACTTTGGAAGAAGTTTTGTTCTGACCAACTTGTGTTCATAGTAAGTATTCTTTCTTTTTTTTTTTTTTTTGGATGTGGGGCCTGAACTCTGGGCCTGGGCACTGTCTCTCAGCTCTTCAGCTCAAGGCTAGTGCTCTAACACTTGAGCCACAGCACCACTTTCAGCGTTTTCAGCATATGTGGTGCTGAGGAATCGAACCCAGGGCCTCTAACATGCAAGGCAAACACTACCATTGAGCCACCTTCCCAGCCCCACAGTAAGTATTCTTTTTTGGAAGGATGAGGGGTCCAGTCGTGGGGCCAGAACTCTGGGCCTGGGCGCTGCCCCTCAGTTCTTCAGCTCTAGGCTAGCACTCTACCACTTGAGCCACAGCTCCACATCTGGCTTTTTTCTTTTTGCTTACGTGGTGATGAGGAATCAACACAGGGCCTCATGCATGCAAGGCAAGCACTCTACCACTGAGCCACCTTCCCAACCCCACAGTAAGTATTCTTAAGAGGTTAAATTTACTTGAAGATAGACACTGGATGGGAAAAATTTGGAGAATAAAGAGGGGAGTAACATTGTCCTTGAATCATTATACTTATAACCTGACTTATGAAATTGTAATCATTTTGTACAACTACAAAATAACAGTAACAATAATAATACTAATAATAATAACAACCATAAAAATATTGAAGTGCAAAAAAGTGGTATATAAGCTATAGCATATTGTATTGTTTAAATATTTTCAGAAAGTGTTTTAGCACATTATAGGATAAAATGCAGAAAGTTAATTTTAGTTATATAATACCTACATATAATTTTATCCCATTATTTGGAGTTCATGGTTAAATTGAAATCATAATGCAAAGTTTATGATGAATTATAATGCAATCTAGGCACTGAAAAAATGCTGGATCTTTCATATAAAGACAACTCATTCAAGAAACACTAGAGCTAAGGATCACACATCACTTCTCAACAGTGTCCATCAGCACACTATGAGAACCTGGAACAACACAGAGGTAACCGACTTCATCCTTATGGGGCTGACAGATTCTGAAGAGATGCAGCTGGCATTATCTCTGGTGTTTCTCCTGATTTACATGATTACTGTGTTGGGAAATGTAGGCATGATCATGATAATTTGTCTGGATCTCCAGCTTCACACCCCTATGTATTTTTTTCTCATTCAACTTTCATTCATTGACCTCAATTTCTCAAGTGTCATCACACCTAAAACTTTACTGAACTTACTGACTTCCACCAAGAGTATCACATTCCTGGGCTGTTTCATACAGATGTATTTTCTTGCCTTCTTTGCTAGTTCTGAAATTTGTCTCCTCTCTGCAATGGCCTATGATCGCTATGTGGCCATCTGCAATCCTCTACAGTATCCTGTTATAATGTCCTCAAGATGCTGCTGGGCCCTCATTGCTGGCACTTACATGATTGGCTTTGTGGATTGTTCTTTCATTGTGCTCTCTATAGTCAGATTGCCTTTCTGTAATTCTAATGTAATTCTACATTTTTTCTGTGATGTATTTCCAATTTTAGCTCTGTCATGCAATGATACATATGCCACTGAATTTGCAGTATACATTTGTGGTAGTTCTACCCTGCTACTGTCCCTTACCACAATGTCCTGGTCCTATGTGTCCATTCTCTCGACTATTCTGAAAATTAAGTCCACTTCAGGAAAGCAGAAAGCCTTCTCCACCTGTGCCTCCCATCTCCTTGGTGTCACCATTTTCTATGGCACCATCATTTTTACTTATTTAAAACCCAAGAAGTCCTACTCCCTGGGCAAAGATCAAGTAGCTTCTGTGTTTTACACGATTGTGATCCCCATGCTCAACCCACTCATTTATAGTCTTAGAAACAAGGAAGTGAAAAATGCCTTCTTTCGAGTTGTCCAGAAGAGAGCAGCATTCTGGCAACTATGATTTGAAATGTGTAAATTCATCTTTTACTACTTTACTTGTTTAAGATTCCCTTAGTTTTTCTAAAAAAAATAGAAACTCATCAACATTTTCATAGTAAAATTCTATTTCATTTATCTAAAGATGATCTTACACACTCCTGGGTATATGCTATTAGAGATTCCTATAATAATTCAAATTCATATAATATGTGATAACACTATTGTTTACCCCCCCCCCACACACACACATATATGTCTGTGTGCTCGTGTGTGTATATTTGTGTGTTTTAGGTCATATACCTGTATAGATGATCAAAATGACTAAAGTTTGTTACATATAGTAGTGAGAATTCTTAATGTAACCTCATTTTACCTTGGCACCATGGCTGACACCTGTACTATGTACTCAAGAGGCTGAGATCAGAGGATTGCCTCTTGAAGCCAGCTTTTGCAGACAAGTCAGTGAGTTGTCTCTCCAAAGATATTTTCTTGAGTCAAAAATGCCAAGCAGGAAGAAGCATAATGCCATGAGTTCAAGCCCAGTATCAAAGAAATCTTAAGAAAATTAAAATTAAACAAATGTGTTCTTAAGGGGAACATCTGTGTAATATAGTGATTTTAGTTATAATTATTTTTCTTAATATTTATTGTTGTTATTCATGTGTTTTAAAGTAGAGTTAGTGTGTCATAAGTCAGGTAATGAGCATATTGCTTCATGTACAATATCAGCTCCTCCTTCCCCTCTTTCTCAGTCTCCTCCACTACAATCGCATACTTCACTTTCAATGTAATGTCTACTACGTATCATGGTTGAACTTGGTCACCCTTTATTCCTCCATTTCTGCTCCCCTCTTGACATCCTCCAAAGACATTAAAAAACAACAAAGAAAAAAAAGAAGCAACAAGAAGCATCACCGTCTCTCTCTCAATGTGTGTAATTCTTAAAACCATGTCATAAAGTGCTCTGTGCATACTTCAATTTTAACAAATTTTATTATGAAGAAATATGCATATTATATATATATATATATATACACAGTAATAGTTCCAGATGCCAAGATTTGCATAATAAGTAATGAATATTTAGCTGCAGTACAGTTAACAAATGACTGAAAATTTAGTCATTTCTTCATCTATATAAGATAAACACATTTTTGTTATACATGAACAGAAAAGGTTTGGAATGAGTATGGCCTCAGTAAACAGGCAAATATAACCATCATTTTCTCAAATTTTGGAGTGAGATATTGTGAGTTTTCCATTTTGAAACCTTCTTGCATAACATCTCTTATGTGGGCTTTTGGTAAACATTTGAGGACCATGCATCCAGTGACATATTGAGTGTGTTCATTGCATTAACCCGTTTCCCTGGGATAATAAGTGTTTGATTTGCCAGTGTATTGTTTGTAAATACAGATATAAAGCAAATATTTAATTCAAGAAACCTTAGGTATTTTACCATCCAGTTTAGTTGAATACTAAAATTTCCCTAATTTTCAATTTTCCCTGAATATTTTGGAATTACATTTTTCATTTTTCTCTGATATGAAAGGTTATTTTTTAAAGTATAGTTTCTTTTTCTAAATTTTGTTGTTTTGAAGTTTACAACAATTACACATTACCCAAATTGTTTAAATCCAACCATTATTATTTTATAAAGTAATTACAAAGCCATGGTTTAAAATATTTTAATAAAAATATATTTCATTTATTTTCCTAAATGGCTTCTGAGTATGATTATAACAACACACTTGATATAAAACGAATCTCTTTATTCAAATTCCACACTGCCAAAAATAAAAGTAAATTAATAAATAGAAAGCCTCAACTTCTCTATTTCAGCAGTTAAGTTATAATAGGTACTTTAATTAAAAACTGAAGTTTTTTATTAAATCTTTCAATATAGGTTATATTCTGTTGCTTTCTTAACAAATTTAAAAAACTTGCCTTATCATATATCAATTTCATTTGTAAAAATTTTCACTCAATGTTTCTTTCCTCACTATGCTCAATAGACTGTATTTGCTAGCATTCTTATATATTTTTTGGAGTTGAAAATAATATTGAGTAAGCATTTATCATTTATTGAAATTTGCGTTTGAGTTGTTGGTAATGAAATGCTTTACAAATAATTTTATATTTAAACATTGACAGATAACTTTAGAAAACATTCATGAAATTGGCTCATTTCTAACAAGGTAGGATGAATAGTCAGAGATCAATAAATGCAATACAGCATATTTAATTAACCATCCTTACCATTTAGTTATCTCAATAGTTGTGGAGATTGGCCAAATTCAAACTTCATTCATGGTTTACTATTGAAAGAGATACAGAATCTCCAATCACATTTTGACTTCCTTATGCTACAAAACTCAATGGAATTCTTTGGACATCACCAACATCTCTATGGTTGATGAATATTAATTTTATTATTAGGGAAACCTTACAAAAGGCGACCTTTCCTATAAAAGTTGTGGGATGACTCTGAAATCAGGCAAATGTAACACTTCTTTTGTAATATTGTTGGGCTGAGATTTTGAAAGTTTCCCTGTTAAAATCTTCTTGCTGTAACAGACCTTATGTGAGCATTTGCTAAAAACTTGGGGACTATGTATCCAGTGACATATCAAGTCTGCTTCATTGAATGAACCTGTTCTCTCTATTTTGTAATGTACATTAAAAATAAATATTGAAGTAAGTGTTTGATTTGCCATTGTTGTATTTGTAAATAGAGATATAAAACCAATATTTGATTAAAAATTTTAGGGTTTGTTCCATCCAATAAACTCCAGTTTAGTTGAATACTAAAATTTACTTGATTTTCATTTTATTCCATATTTTTGGAATTGTTGTTTTCCTTTTTCTCTGCAGTTGAGGGTTATTTTTAAAAGTATAATTCCTTTTCCTGTTTTTGTTCTTTTATAATTTATGACAATTACAATTTACACAGATTGTTCAAAGCTAACATTATAATTTTAAAAAGTCAATACAAAACTGAGGCCTAAAATGTTTTAATACAAATTATATCAAAGATGGTGGTGGGGAAGAGCTACCTTCCAAATGCTATTCTGTGAGACGGATTGGGAATGTCTTATGGGGTATTCAGCCTTTTCCTTGGTTTTTGGTCTATCTGTAATCTGCATCCTCTGTGGTCACCAGGATGAAGTTTTCTACTCCTTATAAGTTCTCCACTTCCACTGCCATGGTCACCGGCGAGTGCTCGCTCAAATCTGTCTTCTTAAACATGCTGCCTGAATTTTTCCTCTCGGCCAAACACTCTGTATTATGATGGCTCACTTGATGTGAGTCTCTAGCGTTGGCTTTTTCACTGGAACACTAAAACTTGTTTCTTCAAGAGAGCTCAGTTAGCCGGGAACTGCTTCTCCACCATCTTCCTTGATCCATAAGGCTCTTCATTATCTCCACATCTCTGTCTATAAAAGAAATGCAAATCAAAACAACATTGAGATTCCTCTTCACCCCAGTTAGAATGGCTATAATCAAAAACTCTATTGACAGGCTTCTCTCTTGTTATTCAGTAACTGAAATGTTGAAATTGTAAGCGGTGAAAAGATTTGCTGTTCAAATGATTTCATCTCAAAAGTTTAAAATCTAATAAATTAATTTCCTTAGTGAGAAAAAAAAAATCTAATAACACATACTGGATGGGTGGTAGCCAAAAGGGAATGCTACTACACTGTTGGTGGGAGTGTAAACCTGTTCCACCACTCTGGAAAGCAGTATGGAGGTTCCTCCAAAAGACTCCACACAGAGCTCCCCTATGACCCAGGAATCCCACTTTTGGGCATTTACCCGAATGATTACAAACAAGACCATACTAAAGCTACCAGCACAACTATGTTTATCGCAGCATTATTTACCATAGCCAAGATATGAACCAACCCAGTTGCCTCTCAGTAGATGAATGAACCAAGCAAATGTGATATATATATATATATATATATATATATATATATATATATATAATGGAACTTTATACTTCCATCAGAAAGAATGGCACCACCCCATTTGTAAGGAGATAGAAATACTTGGAAAAAATCATATTGAGTGAAGTAAGCCAGACCTAAAGAAATAGAGGTCCCTTGGTTTCCCTTATTTGCAATAATTAGTATACAGCTAGGATACTCTTTTCAGATGACCAGAGCAGCTCAATGACGCTAAGTGAAATGAACTCCAAGACATGGACACAAGAGGTTTTTCTTTGTTGTTGTTGTTGTTTTAATGTACTATGTGATTTTTTTTGGTGTCTTTTTATGTTCTTCCCCCTATTTGATTTTTGTTAATTCAAAATACATTTACTACAAAGAGAATCCCTTTATTCAAACTCTACATTGCCAAAAAGAAAAAAAATGAATAAAGTGAAAAACTGCAATTTATCTATTTAGAAGTTAATTATTTAAGACTTTTGTATTTTCAAATTTTTCATTAAATCTTCCATTATTTATTATATTCTGCTAATTTCTCAATGTATTTCAGCTTTTTCCTCATTGTATATCAATGTCATTTGAAAGAATTATCACTCAGTTTTGCTATGTAAACTGTGTTATATACGCTACATTTTTATAGCATTCCTATGTATTTTTGTTTGACGTTGAGAATAATATTCATTAAACATTTGTCATTTTGGCAACGAAATGCTTACAAATTGCTATATCCATGGAACTGACATATTTCTAGGAAAGTTGTATGAACGAACATCCATAGATCAATTAATACAGTATAGTGTATAAATTGAATTAACCGTCCTTATCACTCAGTCATGACAATAGTTGTGGAGATAGCATGTAACAAAATTCAAACTTCATTCATGATTTACAATTGAAAGAGATACAGAGTCTCTGATCACACTTTAAATTCCTTATGATACAATACTCTAAGAAATTCTTTAGCCATTATCAATATCTACAGGGTTGATGAATATTAGTTTTAATGTTGGGAAATCTTGCAGAAGTATTGTTTGTTCCAGGTGATTATTATTCACCAAGCATATGAAGGTGA